GACAAGCTTTTCGACAGCAGATAAGCTCCTACGAGCAGCAAAAGAAGTCATTGGCTTTTTCTCAACTGAAGGTTCACAAGCAGGTGAGGAAGACCTCTTCTTTGCACCACTATCGACAGCAAGCTCTACAACAGCGATTGGGCGAGCTAATGCCTCGTCCTTTATCCGCTTTATCTTTGCCCTCAGGGGTAGGCCATATTTCTTTGCTGAAGAGGGCTGAGCAACTAGCGCCACTCACGGTACTCAACTAGAATGCCCAAGGCAACATGTATTTTCTTCATATCCGCCGAAGTCCTTGGAGTTGAGTCAAACTTCGAATCTACAAAAAGTAAGAAAGACGATCAATAAATTGAAATGATGGAGCAGCTCAACGAAAATTCAAGCAGGACATGCATGAAGTAGTAAAGGTTATCGGGACACGCAACTCATGAGAAGAGTCAGACTCCCATTCTCCACTCATCGCTAAGGTATCTCTCGCCCATTCATGGTCACCTTTGCTAAACATATCGAACAGCCTATGGCGAGATCTCAGCTGCCCCATGCCTTCCTTGTGGTCAATTTCAAAGAAGTACAAAAACTCATTTATGGTCAAGCCAAGCTTAAAGAACCTGCTTATGTTTGAGAATCCCACCATCACACGAACTGCATTTAGGGAGCACTAAGCAGGCGCGTATTTCATGAAGAAAATCACCTTCTGGAAAAGACGCGGTAGACGGAATCGCATGCTTGTACACCTCAAGAAAATCCTGAAACAGCTCGTTGGAATTAATCTTGACATGCGCAGCCTTGAAATAACCTACCTTGCCAGAAGAACCACCTTGACGATACAAAGGTGGAGGATATTAGTCACTTTAGCGGTCGGATGAAGACATTTTAGATTTTTTGCAAAAAACACAAAGAAAAAATATATATTTAGAAGGCAATTCGGAAAAAAAAAAAAAAAAAAAAAGATGTATGCATATATATGCCCAAGAAAAGCAGCATAAATGCGGTTTAACAGGAAGAGAGGCCCGTGACTCCTTCGTCTCCTCTCATTCACACGCAAGGAGCCCAAGAAGAAAACCTAGGCCTCACAACCCAGGTCCCGCGCACAGGAGGGCTGGCCCACGCCGGTCCTTCTCATTCTCTTCCCACTACCTAGGCACCAGCACAGTATCCATGGAGACCCAGCCCAAGTCGGTCTCCCCAGGCCAGCCAACACCCTTGTCGCACCACCTGCAACCCGTGGCCTCCCTGCCATGCCATTCATGCATCCTTGGCACCTACCAAGCCAATTTTTCAAGCCCCAAGGCTCCCAAAAATTCAAAAAGAAGAAAAAATTCAAAATTTTCTTACCTTGGTAAGCACAGAAAACGACTATTCGCAAAGGCAAGAAAAGAAGAACGCTAGGGGAGGGGGGAAAAATATCCTCTGGCTTCTCTTTCTTGTTGGAATAATGATTGATCTCCAAATTTATTTAATCCCCTGCTTAAGGCAGAATTAAATAGGTATTGGGGGCAATTATTTTCTTTTTCCTAGATGAGGTCTATCTCTAAATCAAGGAAGAATATCAAGTTCAAATTGGGTAACAACTCTACAAACCCAAGCAGCTTGGGATTTCTACACCTACTGGCATTTCCATGTGAGCAGCACAGTAGGTGTGAGGGCATTTGTGGAGCCTAAAATAATCCCAAAAATTCTAGAGGCGACACGTGGACTTTTATTCAAGAAAGACAAGATTGCCCTCAATAAATGGGTAGACTTCCTAGATGCACCCACGCACAGCTCACATCCCTGAAAGATTCAGCAGCTGAACACAATTGCCCACAGCTCACTTGCCCTTGGCAAGGAATTAAAGATAAGGATTAATTATCCAAATCTTATCTTTAATACATTCGTAATTGAAGATTGACTCCAATCAAGTAAGTAATGCTAATTTAATTCAATTAAGGATTATTTCCCTATTATCTCAATATATTATCTCCTATTAAATATCTTGGGAATATTTAAAGAATATTTCTCCATTAAAACCTATATGGCCGGCACTAGCCCTATAAATACCCACATTCTACCAAATTAAAAAGGCTTTTGCAACCCTAAAAAACCTTAAACACTTTACTCTCTCAGAGAAACTAACTTAGGCATCGGAGATCCGTTGACCTAACCCACCCCCAACTCGTGGGCGCGTGAGGCTTAGGTCTTTGATCAAAGGTGTTGATTGTTTTGCAAGTACATTTTCGTCAAGACTGAAAACAGTAAAAATTTACATCCACAAATATATTTTATAGAAAAAAATCCTCCGTATTTGATTTCCGATTTACGAAAGTTTAAGTTCCTCTCTCTCAACCAACTTACTCTATTCCCTCCTTTTCAATTTTGGTGTACATTATCTACTCTCTACCCAAACAACCACATAGCCAAAATAGTATAGTGGTCATATAAGGGAAAGAATAAAGTACTAATTAAAATACTAATTTAGGAATTTCGAATTTGTAATTCTATGGTCATCTTCTGGCTTTTCAATGTATTGGCAGCTGAGTCAATGTATCTATTCGAATTTGATTCTCAATAATATAAGCATTTTCTTTTGAAAAAAAAAAACTATAATTGCATCATTACTTACTGGTGACCTAATTAAATTCCAATATAGTAATTAGACGTGACTCGTTTCATCTAATTACGGGTTAATATTCGTTATAAGAACTTACGGTTGTAGTAACTAATTTTTTTTTTTTTTTTTGGGGTCAAAATTGTAGTAACTAATTTATTCACAGAAATTAGCTCATCATGTGTCATATTTGGTTGATAACTAGACATTGGAATAATAGTCGGTGACTTTAATATTTTTATATTGTTTCTTTAATACTTTTCATGATTGTGTCTTAGTTGCTTCTGATGAGCAATTGGCTAATCTTTATCCCCTGTATAGTTGCACGATTTATCACATCATTAAACTAAAAAAAAAAAAAAGACTTGGGGTTTATCAAGAAAAAGAAAGATCTAAGACGATATCGATGCGAATGCGATGTCCATTTCCCCCTTATGAGTCCTTTTGCTTAAATGTTCCATTACTTTCTCAAAGGGTCCAGTATATCAACATCAACAAAAAAATTGAAACCATCATGCAACTGAGTCACATGTTGTACGGGCTAAATTATGGAATCAGACGTCTCTCCTAATCCGACTTAACTTTTTTTTTTCGAGAATGTGAATGCAAAATATTTCCACATCAATTTTTCTTTGTTGGTATCAAAATTCGGATAGAGTATGTCGGGTTCAACACATATATGTTTGGAGTGTTGTTTTCGATCTCAATACCACGAGATGACTCAACAAAAAGAGAAAATATGCGTGCCATTGTTGAAGGATGCCAACATACAGTGATTGGTGTTCGAGTGTGTGTAAGATTGCATGTAAAATTGACTTCTTAACCAGAAGATTGTGAACTAAGTGGGAGGATAGTTCAGTTAAGTTTATTTTTGTGCCTTGAGTGAATGAGGACTTAGAATTCAGTATGAATTTGCATGTATTTGCCTAAAAGTACATGAAAGAGAAATAGAAACTAAAATGAGAAATTGAACATAATCATTTCATGATGAAGTCAAAAGTAAATCTAGGATGGTAAGTCTAGCTACATGACATGAAAAGTAAATGAGCTGAAAATGGTAAAAATACAAAATAATAAAATAATAAAAAAACAGTAAAACTCTAGCACGATTCAGGCCATGAAGGGTGAGATAATGCGAGGGAAGTCTATTGACATCACTGGTACAAGTACCAGACTAGACTAAGCATGAAGCATGTGCCTCATACAGGAAATCAGGGATTGTTGGAACCCATCAACCAAATCACACCACGAGGTGGCAAAGTTGTAAGAGTTTTAGATTTTAGGGATCGTAGGAAGTGTTTTTTTTTGAAGAAAGACTTTTAGATTGTAGCTGAATAGCAATTTGTGTTGTGCTAAAAGCAATGGGATCGATTGAAAGTCATTTGAGGTTTGTATAATTGTACAGACTGAATTTGACAAACCTCAATGCTACCGTTGAGCTAGAGCATGGGTAGATCAGTCATTTTACTCAATTGCAATTCTTAGGTGGTGGCATTCATTTGTGTGTTGTGGCGGTTCGTATGATTGTCATTCATCAGCTTGTCCTCGACATTTAGCAAGATATTCCCGAATCCCATCGTTCGTGAGGCAGACGTGTTTTGGGGGGAAAACCTTTTCCGATCCCTCGGACGAGTTGGAGTGAAATGAGTTAGTCATCTGATAGGATAGGATTCTGCAATGGGCATAGAAGTTGGTGGACCTAAATCGTGTGACTTTGTGTAACTAAAAATATATTGGGAAAAGAAGAAGCAGAGGGAGGGGAAGCTAGGGTAGCTACGACACAAAGAAAATTTAGAAATCTAAACTCACGATACCATTTAGAAATATAGAAGTCGTTGATTTCATTGATAGCACAAGGGACGACATGTTTGGCTCCAGCCCTTGAATCTATTAAAACTCTTGTCCATGATATTTTGTTTGTAAGTTCTATCTTTGAATCTATTAGTTTTAGGCATGTTTGGCAGAGGTTAACGTGTTTTCGATGCTTTAGCCAATTATGCTCACTTTATCTTTTCCGATGTAATTGGGTTGGTACCTTCCAATCCTGGCTAAACAGAAGTTGTGTGATGTTATATGATGCTTTATGTTTGATAACCCTCTCGTGACTCTGGTCTTTAACCTATTTTATATCCATTAAAAACATAAATTGAAAGTCAATCTTCAGGGCTTAAATATTTCCTAAAGTTTATTTTTTATTTTTCTTCTTTGGTCCTTTCGTGGTTGGAATGAAGATCAGTATGACCAAAACTGAAAAGACTATTACCCATTTTATAAGACCTGAAAGCAAATTAATCACTAGAAGAAAGGACATATTTTAAGCAAAGCCAATTACTCCTCAAGGCTAATGCCTCTCAAATATATATGCCAACTTAATTTAGCATATAGAATGCTCGATCGCTAAGCACAGCAGAGGTTAAACACCGGAAACATTGATAATTATATTATATACTTATAACCAAATCGTGAACATAAAGATATATTCGTTGTTCCCTGTTATGTATATATTGTTCTCCATGCACCTGGAGAATCATAACAATTATTTATGGATGCAATAACATTTTTAAGTTCAAATCACAATAAATAAATTCAAGTGATAATGCACCCCATATTAAACTAGTGATTACTGATTAGGTGTCTTAATGTATGCCACGTGAGTAGAATTGGCAACCTTGGTCAAGGTTTTTAAATCATAAGCAATCCAACACCTTGACGTATCTTTGTTGTAAAAGTAGCCCAAACACTTGCAATCCGAAGTACACTTCTTACCACAATCGGTCTCCTTTATAGCAGTTCCCGGGGTGTACTTGCTCATGAAGTGATCAACCCCTTCAACTTTGTAGTAGTGGAAGCTATTTGCTGCACAAGAAGTTAGCTTTTCAGGCTCACAAGCCTTGCTCCAGCCGAATAGTCCCTTAGAGGATGGGCAAGCAACACATTGGCTGTCCTCACAGAGACCGAAGTTTCCACACCGCTCTGGCAATTGGCACTCGGTTTCCCATATCGAATTATCTCTGTCGAAAAGAGTGAAGGTCACCTCCCATGCACGCCAATCCACCTTGTCATAGTAAGTGTACAGCTTGACATTTCCATCAATTCCAAGCCTAAGGAATGTCAGTGTACTATTGTATTTGGGTCTAGCTAGAATGGCATTTCCACCAGAGGAAGAGTTGGCCACTTGATATTCCAAGCTTATGTCATAAGCATAACCCTCATCTGTGTCCGGTGCAACATTCAATGTGACATGATCAAGTGAGCCTTTCTCAATGGTAAACAACTGAGAATAGAGTATTGATTTGGGAGAGTTGTTGCTCTTATAGTACAAAAAGATTCCCTTAGGCTCCATCACCAAGCTGTACGGCCCATCTTTGTTTTCTGTCTCGGAGACCCGACTCACCAGCTTGTTTATTGTTCCTGGCCTTAGAGATTGTCCCACCAACAACGTGTCGGTAGGGTGGTCAAAGCTTTGCCAAACAAAGTTGCCCTTGGAGTCATAAAGTACCATGTTGCCTGTTGGAAGCAACTTGAAGCCTACCACACCTTTGTTGGCAGTCTTGGTTTGCCAAGCCACTCGACCATCGGCATCCGCCAGTACAAGGTTGCCATCTTCTCCAAATGCGAGGGTGGCATTTTCGCCAACTGGGTTTCCTCGATTGGCCTCCCAAACCCAACGGAAGAGTGACTCCGAACGAGTCAAACCCATTCGAAGAGCAAGAGTAAAGGCATTTGGGGTGGTGTTGTAGAAGGCAAGTTGGAAGGGGGAGCTAAACACACTGAGCATACGATAGTTTCCATCGTATTCTACAATGTAAGGCCCAAATTCACCTTCATTGACAAACTTGAAGGTTTGATTTGCGGGAACTTGAGCTTGAGCAACGAAAGCAAAGAGTGAGAAAAGAAAGAGGGAAAGCAAAGGTGACATAGTTAAATTATGTAGTAGAAATCTTGTTCAAGTTTGATCTAAAGAACTTAGTAGTCCCTCTATTTATAATTTGGATTGGGATCATTTCTCAGATCTGGTCTTTGATAAATATTACTAACATATAGCCGTCATTCATCATTGCGTGCACCGACTGCTTAGACGCCAATGCTGATCAGTCCTACGCTGCACAGCTGCACTTTGTATAAAGCGGTAAGGATCGTGTTGGATTTATAAGATAATGGTATATTATGATAAGGATAACGTTGTGATACTAAATTTTAAAATTAAATTAATAAATTAAATTATATGTCATTAACAGAAAATAAGCATGTTAATTATTCTAACATATATGGTTTACTAAATTTCGTTTAATTAACACTTAAGTAATAATTCAATTATCAACCTCATATAATTTACAAAATAAATTTAATTTAAAAATTCGTTGTCTTTAGCATTATTTTTATGATAATGTATTCTCAAATATGCGAATTTATATAACTTTGTATATTATATAATTTACACATCTAGAAGCAAACATTTTATATTACATTGTACCTGTTTGATTCTCTTTATTTATTTGTTTGGGAGTTGATAGTTACTATTTTGTACTTCTAAGAACGGTCTAGTTGCGCATATTATAACGATTTTCCTCATCTTATCCGATAAGGCCAAGACCATCTGTCCAAATCACAAAGGTTATGTCGGAAGGTTAATTGTTTATTTATTTATTTATTTATTTTTTTTTGAGAGAAATACGATAATTTATTGCAAGCAAATTCAGAATACAAACAAACTGAGGATAGTGTGCATACTGGGCCTCGATAAAACTTTGTCGGGAATTTCACTCCGGCTGAAGGGAAAAGAGTGTTCCGCACAACATAAAGGACCTATCCTCAAATGTCAATCCATAAACAAATTCCGAATTATCTTCGAACAAAATATGCAACTCGGGGGACTTCAACCCACTAAATTGATTGGTTACAAAGCTTTCGACCATTTCGTGCAGTGAGCGCCAACCGTGGGGCAAAGCTTTCGACCCTTTCTTCCATAGTGCTTTCCAAATGCTACAACTCAATCTAAACCACCAGCAGAAAATGTCTCCAACAAATTGGATTAGTTGGAACAACATCCACATAATATCAGTAGGAGACCTATGCTCGCAGAACTATGAACACAGAATCAAGGTAACTCGGCGCCATATGTAATCTATCACTAATTCAAAAATAAGAATGGATATCTCCACTTTAATGTCTTATTTTTTTCACTCATCTTTTAATAAAAATGTTATTAACAAATTTACCTTGACAAAATGACGTATAATTAAGCACCTGGAAGCTGTGAACGATCCAACTTCCAATGAACTATTGCTCTCTGGCTCCTTTTCTTTCTCAATTAAATTGTTATCCTCCTTTTCTATTTCCTCCATCCAATTTGTTTTTCCTTTTTTAAATTTTACTATTCTTGTTGGTCACCCAATTTGTTAATTTTGGATGTTTAGTCATTGGGTTGAAAGCTTTAAGAATACATTTATATACATATTAAGAACAAACACAACAATGAATATGAACTACGTACTGCAGTAAATGCATGCAGCATTGTTAACCCTAGTTTAAGCGTAATGCATTCTGTCGTGGTTTAACTAGGTAGCGTCTCCGTGTATTTTCGATTGTGGTTGATGGAGACTGGATGGTTTAAATTTTTTTAATTTTTTTATTAACACTAGTATATGACTAGGGGTGGAAAAAATTCCCGAAAATCCCGAACCGAACCGAAAAAATCCCGATCCCAAACCAAAAATTTCCCAAACCGAAATTCCCGAAATTTTCGGGATGCTATCCCGAACCAATCCCAAAATTTCGGTATGGGATTCGGGATTGGCTTCTCGATATTTCGGGAATCCCATACCAAACCGAAAATATATAATATTAATTATTATATATATTATACATATATATATTATTCTTTTATAATTGATGCTAGTAGTTTCTAATTCATGCTCAGCAACCTAGAATGCCCTACACCTTGCATATTTTTCATGTTCTGTTTGATATTCATGTGGATTTTATTATTGCTGCTGCCATGGCTGATGATTTCAGAAGGCTTGATTCTTTTGTCTCTCAACAGATTGCAAAAAGAGTTTAATTAATTTGAATTTTGACTATGATAAAGAGTCAAGCATGCCAGTGTTCAATTAAATGGTAGTGTGAATGAAATGAAATTCCTAGTTCATAAATGTGTTCTTGAATTATATATTTGAAGAACAATTCATAATTTCATATTTCAATTTGGGATTCCCGATTTGTCCCAAAATCCCGAAAATATTTCGGGATTCCAGAAATTTGGGATTCCCGAAAATTTGGTTTGGGATTGGTCTTCAAATTCCCGTCCCGAAAAATTTCGGTTTGGGATTCGGGATACTAGTTTCGGTATGGTATCCCATACCGAACCACCCCTATATATGACCATACACAAAATGTGTGTGAAATATTTTATTTTCGTTTTCAAAATTGAAGGATAGAGGAAGAGAGAGAGAGAATGTGGGAGTAGGAAGAAAGATATAATTTTTTTTTTACATTTTAAAAATTAGAGATGTTAAAATCACTTGTAGGTGATGCTTAAACAAAAGCTAAATTTCGTTTTGTAAAGTTACGTTAATGCTCTTAACTTTTTTGTTGTGGTAAAAGACTAAATAGTCTTTTCACCATCATTTGGTTAACAAAAAAGATTCTATTAATATGTTTAAATAAGGGCAAATTTGGGATTTTAGAATATATATATATATATATATATATATATAATTAGGTGTAGATAAGATAAAGGCCTAATTGGATTATTAGTCACAGTGGTGATAGGGTGGTTGGAAGATAGTCCATGTGGTAAAAAAAAAAAAAAAAAGGTTTTAAGTTCCTGTGATGAAGTCTATAAGGATTTATGCCCAAAATTGAATATTTCCTCAATTCTCTGCTAATTATTAGCACTTGAGCCAAACATATTAAGTTAAAACGAAACTCTTCATTAATTGTTAGTAAGTGTGGCTTGCATGTAAGGCTAACTTTATTTTTTTAGTCTCATATGTGAGCCTTATGTACTAACAATTAATGAAGAGTTGACGAAATCTACAATTTTGGGTGTAAATCTAACAGATTTTACCACAAAGGCTTAAAATATATATATATATATATATATTTTTTTTTTTTTACCACAAGCTGTCTTCCAACTATCTTATTACCACAAAGACTATTAATCCAATTAAGCTTAAAATATACGATTCATATGTAAAAAATCATTTCATATAATTAGAGGGCTTGTAACTCTCCTCAAGTAGCTAGCGAAGAATATTCTTCATCTAGGTCGTGTCTTCGGTTTTCTTTTATTCAATATCGGTTGGAATGAAAAAGAAAAAGAAACTCATAGTTTTGGACTGCTAAACCTAAACAAAGAATATTTGTTCGCAGTTGATTCTTGTAGTTGATAAATTGCATTATTCTTAGTTTGCAAAGTTGTTAATGTGGGATGGATACTATGTCATACATCAAATCAGCAATACTTCAAACGACAAATGGCCCATACATCAAACGGGCATCAAATCAGCAATGTGGGATGGATACTATGTCATACATCAAACCACCATGGACATAATGCCCGTTAGTAAACTAGATCTGATAAAAACTCTCAGTTTTTACCATGGGCAATGCCCATTGTCAAATGCGATATAATCACAAATTGTGCGCGTGATATATTAGAATCTAACACTACATGTTATGGCCGTTGTGAGTTACATATTAACCACATACCATGCCCGTTATAAGAAAAATTTCAAAAATAATAAATTATAATAAATATAAAATATTTTTTATAAACAAAATTGCACATTTACTTCATAAAATTCATAGATTCAAATGTTACACTAAAGTTAGTGACATAACCAATTAGTAGTACTAGTAAGAAACTAGTACATGCCCACATACAAAGTGTGTGTGAAATATTTTAGTTTTGTTATTAAAATTAAAGGAGAGAGAGGAAGAGAGTGGGAGTGGGGAGAGAGGGAGAGAAGTTTATTTGTTTAATTTTTATTTTTTTTAAATTAGACATGATACAATTACCTGTAGGTGAGGTTTAGAAAAAAAAACTACAAAATTTTGTTTTGTGAAATTACGTTACTGTCCTTAACTTTTTTGTTGTGATAGAAAAAAAAATTGTATTTTTACCCTCTTTTGGTTGACAAAGTGGGTTTCATTAATATGTAGTTTAGATACCAAGCCAGTAAATTATACTACATTTTTGTACCAAGCATGTATATACTTTGTTTCATACTTTAAAACAAAACTTAAGTCCTAGTTCCAAACTTGGTGCTCCAATTATATTTGCCTTCTATGCATTCGTCTCTTCAAGAAGACACACATCTCCAGCAAGCCAATACACACTTTAAATTTACAGGTGCTTGTAATGTAAATGCAATAGTTGATATTTGAGTTATGACCCTTCATATATTAGAATCACCAACCACCTATGAGATAAAGAAGGAAAATCATAAAGCTTAGAATCAAACTCATGTCTCAAGGATACTATCAACAGAAAAATTCAAAACCACCGAGTCAATTACTCAAAATACAATCAATCGTAATCTAAGTAATAAAATTCCAAGTATCGAATATCCCAATAAAATATTTATATATTAATTAACAAGTTAATCCTATCATCTCTACAAAAAAAATAAAATAAAATAAAAAATCGAAGCAAACAAAATTGCTACCAAATCTCTCCAAGAGTAGCACCGCTCTAGTTTGGTTTCTGCTCTTAAATGCCTGCAAGAGAAAAGACTTTTATCAACCAAACATTGTGCAGAGCACTTGAAAAGAAAAAATTGTAAACCCTAAATTTTGAAGAATAAATGCTGTTGATGCATAAAATCGGCGAGGACTTTGGTACAACAAAAAATGTCAAGTTTATGACCTTCGCTAGATTGCTCTGGTCATTAGTGTGGATAAGTATATAAATGAATAGAGACAGGGAAGCAAATAACACAAGATGTTCGTGGTTCACCCAG